TAATTAATTGATTAAATTAAAATTAAAATTAAAATTTATATTTTTAATATAAATTAATTATGAAAAATATATATTTATATACCTTATCTGATGATATAAGGATACAGGTAGAAAAATCCTTTTAACTTATTTTTACATCAAGCAACCAGCGACGAGCAACCCCATAATTTATAGACCGCCTAGTTGCTGTCGGTTTGTTAGTTCGGATTTCAAATCACATATCAAATTTATTTATTCAATGGTAACTAGTGATGTAAATTGTCCGCCTTTGCAAGCTTCTTGAGATTTATCCGTGTCTTAATCTATCGGCTTCCCCTCCCGAGTCCCACCCAAGGCAGCAAGCGGTAAGTTGCTTTCAGACATCCATCACAGTTGGTGACAGTTTAACTTCAACAGGGCAACATGCGGCACCTTGTGCAGTGTTATAGATATATTAGGATTCTCAAAGATTATGGATATATTTTTGATTTTGCTGAGTGCAGTGTTTAGTACTTTTTTTCTTTTTTTATTATTTTTTTACATTGCGATGGTTTTTTTTTTTTTAATTGAGAGTAAAAAAAGGGAAAAATAAGAGTAAAGGAGCTTGAACTTTGGTCACGTAAACGAAGAGTTTATATAATAATCATACGATTCACACATTAAAATTATTATGGTGTCTAATACTTTTTTTTGAACATATTTTATAAGGAGTGGGTTTCGAACCCTGCCCAGGAAAAAAGGGAACACACTAGTGACTAATGTCATTAGGCCTCAAGGCCCGGTGCATGGTGTTTAATACTTTAATTTTATGCTTAAGAACTATTTTGATGGAGCAGTTTACCTGGCCAATGCCTATTTTCAAAAAAAAAAAAAAAAGAAGAAGCAATTTATGTGGGATTCTAGATTGGATTTATGCTTTCTTCTCAATCTATGATGCTTATTTGAATAGATAATGAAATGAAAATATTTTTTTAATATTTAATTTATTTAATTTGTATATTAAAAAGTATAATAAATATATTTTTTATAATTAATTTATATAAATAATAATAATTAATTTTTATTTTAATATTATTATTATGTAAATAATTTTAATTAATTAATTAAATTTAAATTACTTTTTATTAATTTTAAAAAATATTTATTATATTTTTAATTTATATTTTAAAAATACAAAATAAAAAAAGTTCTTCGATATTTATTTGAAACGAATTGTATGAAATTGAGGTGGTTCTTTAAACTTGTAAAGACTGCACGCCCGGTCCGCAGTATTGAAATTCGAGGAAAAAAAACAAAGGTGAATCAGATATTGACTTTGTGGTACCACTATAGTAATTGCCTTAAATTACCGCGTTAAACAGCCAACAAACGTCAATCAATCTTTCATGAAATAGTACAGTAATGGTAAATAGAAATCTATTATCGCAGCTTTGCGTGCGGCTGCCATGAAAAATGATGGTAGGCAACCGCACCGACCGTTTGCCCAGCCCAAGACAAAGTAATGGATAAAATTTCACAATTATGAATCATGTAAGAAAGAAATTGAATGCACCTGGCTCAATGGCCAAGTGACTCTTATTACTTTGTAAAGTTGTAGTTCTCTTCTTTTTATTAGAGTTGGGTTTTAACCTCCTTGATATCTTATTAAA